AATCTTTATCTTAAATTAAAAATTATTTATGTTAAGAGTTTATTTAGATATAAATTAAAATTTTAAGTATTTATTTGGATATAAATTAAATGTTAAGGATTTATTTTTATGCAAATTAAAGATTAAATATTTATTTCAATACAATTAAAATATACAAGTTTATTTAAGTAAAGTTATAAAATTCAAAAAATTTTATTGTTGTAGCTATCAATTTCAATTTGAAAATTTTGAGTTTAAATTCTCGAATAGCATGAATAGGATTTATGATACGAAAACAAACTATCACCTATACCGATGAATCCTTTTTTTTTTTTGTTGCAAAAGAGGGCTAGTGCCTTTACAAGGAGGAGAGGGGGATGGCGGGGTATAACCCACTCCTTATATGACTTTTAACTAACTTTTTAACCACTAGATTAAGAGGAAAAGGTCTATACGGGTGAGCTTTTGGCTCGATATAATTAATACATATACAAACTATAATTAATTTTGAATTTTTTAGAGATGAAGCCCAAAATTACATCACATGTATACAAAAAACGTAAGCTAAATTTAATTTTCTTTTAATTTTGAAACTCCACAAAAGAAGAGTGTTAGAGGTGGAACTTTAAAAATTTTCTATATATATATGCTGACCCTACTTCACTCTTACCAATCGATCAACTAAGCTTGAGTAGCTGCTAAGTTGTTTCGATAATTTTGTAAATGTTCAATCAATCTGAATTATCATTATTATTATTATTATTATTGTATGGAAACGGAATAGTCGTGAATTTGATTAAAGGGTCACAATCGCATGAAAATCAATGCTTGTATTGGACGCAAGTCGCAGGCACGCATTGTTGGGAAAGTCTTGACCATCAATTTTTAAAGACACACACACGTTACCATAAAAATGAGGAACAAGCTTCCTTTGAGGCATTTCTTCCTTTTTTTTTTTGACCGAAAGTACTATTAAAAAACTGCTTTTTAGGGCACAAATACATTAATGTTTCTCTTCTATTTTAAGTTACATGTATAGTTTTCTGCCCATACTTGATTAGCTGGTCATAGTGGAACTTTGAAGCTTCAAAGAAATTTGTTCGAATTTTTTAATATAAAATAAATTACAATGTGAAAATAAAAAAATTATCTCTTTCGTTTCAAATTATTTAGGCGGTATTAATTTTTACAAAGTTTAAGCAAAAAAATTTAATTTTAATATATTTAATATTAAAATTAAAATTTTATGATTTTTAATGTCAAAAAAAAATTCATTAAAAAATAATTTTAAAATATAAAAAAATAAGAAATTTAAATGTTTAAAAAAACATAATTTTGAAACATCTCAAAAAAAAAAAGAGTACAAGTTTAAGATTTAAATTTTAAATTTATTAAATATTATTTTTAAAAATATTTGTATAAATCAATGTACTTAAGTTTGAATTTTGACAAAAATGATTTATTTATATATTACTGTTAACTTTTTTCAGTAAGTGTATATTGATTCTTCTTAAGTGTGTATTTATATAAAAAAATTATTAAAAAAAATTATCGGAGTATTTTATGGTCAAAAGGCAAAATCGTCCTTTCACTTCATAAAATTGTAGTGCATCCCATCATTAAGGCAGAGAAAAGCGGCCAAATAGCAGAGTGATGATTTGAGAAACCAGACAAGAGGTTTTCTACTAATTTCTAATGACAATAAAGGGCTCAATTAATCGCATCACGTTTTTCAGCTGTTTGTTTTTCCGCATCTTTTCCCATTACACACGTTTTGGATTTGGGTCCAACTTGTTTCCACTTCATTCTACTGATGTAATGTTACACAATCCTTTTCCCTCTTACTTTTCCTATAATCTGCCACGTACAAGCAAAAGAAATTTATTAATTATCGTGTCCCAATTAAGTACCATTAGTGGTAATTAAGTACAAAAGAAAATGATAATTAGAAGTTTTACGAATAAGATTATTTGCCTTTTAGACTAGGTTTAAAATTGGTTTTTAATCAAATCATTAAGGCCAAATGACTTCGATCTCTAATGGGCCAAAAATTTCAAATCTTACCTTAACTTTGTGATTTTCTAAAAATTGTAATACAATTGTCACATTGACTATTAATGCTGAAGAATTTTGGGTTTAATCAACTAAAATTAAATGAATAAAGTCCTTATAATTAAAAGAAATTATAAAAGAAATTAGTATTATTATTTTCGCATATAAACATTTGACTAAATAATAAGTTTATGAATCTAGAATTGAAAATACCAAACGAGAATCCCACTTTTCTAAAATTGTACTCGAATAAAAAAAAAAAAAGTGATCATATCACTTCTTGACTGTAACTCACGTGATTCATGTCCAAAGATAAAAGAATGCCAAATTAAAGGTGTCTTCTTTTTGAAATTTGAATAATAAGATCTTGATGTTATCCTTTTTACGTCAAATTTAAGAATCAAACTCCTGATTTTTTTTTTAATTAAAAAATTCGTTGTACTTTCTCTTATACTTCAAGAGAATAAAAATTTTACATAAAAATAAAAATTTTCACAAGTCAGACTAACCCGATTGACACTTGTAATACTTTGATCAAAGTTCAATTCAATCCATTCAATAACTCATTTACATACGATTAATATAAATTTAACATTAAAATATTAAAATTATTATATTAATATTTAAATATTTAAAATTCAATAAAAATATTTAATAATAAAATAATTTTAGAGTCCAAACTTAAAAAATCATGCCCAGCTTGACCTCCGAGCTTAGTGAGCCATCTAACCCGATTGACACTTCTAATTCTTTGATCAAAGTTCAATTCAATTCATTCAATAAAGCTCATTCACATATGATAAATATAAATTAAGTATTAAAATATTAAAAAATATTATTTTAATATTTTAATATTTAAAATTAAATAAAAATATTTAATAAAGCTTTGCTTGACCTCCGAGCTTGGTGAACCATCAAATCTGTGAACAGACATGGAAATCTAAACGCATGGAAACAACTAGTGTAGTAGAAAGAGGCAAATTAAGCCGCATGACAATATTTGTGGGCGAGAGAGCGGAGACCAGTCGGCTCCTTTTTTGACTTGTTCTTCAAATAATGCTGCCCACTACTTATTCACTTACTTTTGAATCCTTCTTCCGGTTGTAACTGTAATTGACTGCAACCAATCCGACGACAAATGGATCCAAAGTACAAAAGGTTAACGTTTACGTCTTCTGGATTATCAACTTTAACTATTCGTGGATATGATTCTATTTTTTTAAAAAAAAATTTAAGATACGCGTTTTCAAAAACCATTTCAACGATTAGGATTTAAATTTTTATTTTAAAAATGTTAAGTTAGAATTATAAAATAAAAAAAATAAGATTTATGAGTAAAAGATAATGATCTTACCTCTTATTAATGAGGGGTCCAAAACTATTAATATAATTAAAAAAATTAATTAAGTTTTATTAAAGTACCAATCTTCAACTTTTTTAATGTTTCAATCATTTTCGTTCAAATTTAAAGGTATATTTATGGATGAATGAATTTGAAACAAATTAAAAAAGTTATAAATGAAAAAATCAAACTCTTTAAATTACGGATGAAACAAATTTTGTGAAAAGATTACGGCTTAATTATAAAATTTACTCAAAAAAAAGAAGATAAAAGTTCAAATGAAAGTGAATTAAATTTGTAGAGATGAAATGAGGATTTAAAAAAAAAAAAAATACTGATTTCGGGTTGTAATATTTTCTTAAAAATTATTTAGATTAGAATGAATAAATAAATTAAATAAAATTTAAATAATATCTAACTCGGAGAAATTGATCGAGAAACGAAAGAATTACAATAGTTGTCAACATCAAATAAATTTCTTTTTGGAAAAGAAACAATAATAATTGATGAAAATAAAATGTGTAAAGTGGACCATCCATAGACATGTAAGGGTGAAAAAAAATTGAAAATTGATTTCAAATTATAATATTCGTTAAGATTAAATTAATTTTTTGATTATTTGATTTAGATTAAATTTAAATATTAAATATATATATTAAGTTCGAATAAAAAATAAAAATATTATATTATATTATATTATATTTTTAAAATTTATATATATATTTAAAATTTTTTAAAAATAAAAATAAAAATTTTATATTAAAATTTATTTAAATATATTAAAATTTTATAAACTTAAAAATAAAAATTAATAAAATAAATCGAACCAAAAATTTGATTCAATTGAACTCAGGTCGAATAAAAATTAGATCCAAATTTAGATCGAATTTTAAATTTTTATAATATTATTAATATCTAAAAAAATTAAATCAAATTTATTTCTAACCGAACCGTTATACCTCTGGCGAGTGGGAGGGATGCGAGGAAGGGATTCGGTCCATTCCATTTTCGAGGAAAGCCGACGGAGTCAACCCATTAGGGTCGGTCCGAAAACGAGCCAAACCGACGTGGAATAATAATAAAGTCAAAGAAAGAAAATCGAGAAGAGTGGAGCCCTTCTTCATCAAGACCGTTGACTCAGATTACCTTTTTCCACTATTCCGGGCCAATCGGGGCGGTGGAATTTTAGAACGCGTCAATCTCCAAGTTTTTTTTTTTTTTCTTCTTCTTCTTCCTTCCCTGGTTTTTACACGAAGAAAGAAAGAAAATGAAATCATTAAAATTCAAACGACTTTCCTTCGCGTCTCCTTGGGTTGGGCCCAGTCTTTCATCACGGGGCTCTACTTCATCGCTATCCGTCTCTTTTACCGTCGCTGAAGCGTAGTCATCAGTTTCAGCTATCTACCCATTAATTCAGGAACTGAAAATATTGGTATAAGACAAATAAATAATTATAATTAAATATATTTTTTATAATATTTTTTAACAATTTTGGAATTTATTTACAATTGCTAATGAATTTCTTAAGATTATTTTTAAAATTATTCAATAATCAAATTTAAGTCATGATAATTTTAAATATAAAAAGTGATGTTTAATTTTTTGTATTTAAGATGGTTGCTGGCATCTCCATAAAAAAAAAAAAATCTATGTAATCATTTTCTAAAAACCTTCCCAAATCTTCACCGGAGTAAAGTCATATAGCAAAACAGAAAAAGAAATATGAAACGCAAATAACACAAAAGTGTTTTTGCAAGCTGCTAGTATATTTACTACTGTTTGGTCTTCTTCTAAAAGTCTCAACCCCCTTTTTATTGCCGGGTCCGTTGCACCGTTCAAAGACTTCTCTCTCCCACCCCTCATCTCTCTCTCTCTCTTGATTTATGGCCAAAGCCAGTGGACTCTCCATTGATTTAGATCCCATTTCCTTATTTCTTCACAAGCCTACTGTCCTCAATTCTTTCCCTGAAGACACTAAAGACAACAACAGCAACAACGTTATCAACAATCCCAAGTACTGCAGCAACATCTTGTTCCCTACTGCCTCTCCTATGGATGCTACAAAAGCAAATAGATCTCCTCCATCCACCATTCAGTTCCCTGTTAACCTCAACTGTTCCCATGATCAGCACCCTTCTTTATCTGATGATAAGTGGAGGGTCGTTAGTGAGGTGGATTTTTTCGCTGAAAAGAACAATAAATTTGTTGATGATGTTGTTGATGCCAATCCCATCCACACCTTGGATGTCGACATCAAAGTCTCCAACGATCGAACTGCCCTTGAGCTTAACGTCAACGTGAGTCACCCATCCTTTATTTCTTTTTGCAATTGTTTCTTTAGTTTCCGTACTTATGAATCGATGGATTCGAATTCATGAATTTTTTCTTGATTTTCAGACTGGTCTAAATCTGTTAACGACAAATACTAGTAGCGATCAATCCACAGTGGATGATGGGATATCTTCCAACGTGGAAGATAAAAGAGCTGAAAATGAGGTGACAATTTTATTAAAAATTGGAAATTTTTTGTCATTTTGGTTGAGTTAAAATCATGTTAAAAGATTACTGTGCCATTGTTTTTTTATTTTTTTTCAGCTAGCTGTTTTACAAACTGAGCTGGAACGAATTAGCGCTGAGAATCAACGGTTAAGGGAGATGTTGAGCCAGGTAACTAGCAATTACAACACAGTGCAGATGCATCTGGTCACCCTGATGCAGCAACAGCATGATGAAAAAGCTGAAAAGGCTGAGGAAAAGGTTCAGATGACGGAGGAAAAACTAGAACAAAAGAAACCAAATGGAGGACTAATACTGCCAAGACAGTTTATGGATCTTGGTCTTGCTGCTGCTGCTGCAGCTGATACTGATGAACCTTCGTTGTCTTCGTCGGAAGGGAGGAGTCACGACCGTTCGGGATCACCTAATAATAACACTGAGGTAGCTTCCAAGGAATTTGGATTGAGGAAGCGTGGGAATAGTGAAGAAGATCGAGGAAACGGAAGAGAGGATAGCCCGGATCAAGGATCCCAAGGTTGGGGTTCTAATAAGGCTCCAAGATTTAATTCTTCAAAAAATGTTGATCAAACTGAGGCTACGATGAGGAAGGCACGAGTTTCTGTTCGAGCTAGATCAGAGCTGCCTATGGTATGTGACTGAGTGAATTGAATTGAATTCATGATTTTGTTTTATGTTTTTTTTTAGTTAAATTGATTGGATTTTATGGTTTTTTTTTTTTTTTTAAGATCACAGATGGATGCCAATGGAGAAAGTATGGACAGAAAATGGCAAAGGGAAATCCGTGTCCTCGAGCATATTACCGATGTACCATGGCTGCTGGTTGCCCAGTTAGAAAACAGGTACTCTCCAATGGTTTTTCCTTCAATCTTTCCTCTTTTTGTTTTTTATTTTTATTTATTTTCTAGCTAATTCTAGCATCACTTTCAGGATTAGTACCACAGGTTTTTCACATACTTTCGAAACGTCAAATTCATTTTCATGTTCTTTTTTTTAAGGAGGAGGTGCAGGTAACCTGTGCCTTTCAAGGGGATTGCTAAAGGTTTTGTATTAAATATCCAATATGAAACGTTCGTTGTGCTTGTAATTTTAAATTACGTGTTGAAATTTAATTAATACTACCACACTGGAGACCAGTCAGGGGGATTTGAATTACATTTTTGGAGAAATTTGTTTGATATAATCAATGAAAAAATAAAAAATTCTCTCGATATTATAACTTAGATTATAATGTTGAATAATATTGTTACAGGTACAAAGATGTGCAGAAGATCGAACAATCCTCATCACCACATATGAAGGCAATCACAACCACCCTTTGCCTCCAGCTGCAATGGCAATGGCATCAACGACATCATCGGCAGCACGGATGCTGCTATCAGGATCTATGTCCAGTGCTGATGGACTAATGAGTTCGAATTTCCTCACAAGAACTCTCCTGCCATGCTCCTCTAGCATGGCTACTATATCAGCTTCTGCCCCATTCCCCACTGTTACCTTGGACCTAACACAGACTCCAAACCCTGTACAGTCCTCAAGGCCACCAGGCCAACTCCAGGTCCCATTTCCAAACCCACCACACAATCTTCCCAACTCCGCAGCTGCATTGCTGCCTCAAAATTTTGGTCAGGCACTTTACAACCAATCCAAATTCTCTGGTCTACAGTTGTCTCAAGATGTGAAACAACCTCAATTGGGTCACCAACTTCAACAAGGCCAGCAAAATTCACTTTCTGAGACTGTAAACGCAGCCACTGCTGCCATTGCAGCTGATCCTAACTTCACTGCAGCTCTAGCAGCAGCTATCACGTCTATTATTGGGAGTTCTCATCCCAACAACGTACCTAACAATAATGGTACCAACCTCACATCTGCCACTAACAGCAGTGGCAATGTCCCTACTACTTGCAACAGCAACAGCAACAATAAAATCAGCAATTCCAGTTTTGCTCCAAATTAGAAGAAATGAAGATCACCTTCTATTCTTTTTTTTGGGGGGAAGAAGGTCATGCACTTTTTCGTTTCTTTTTTATTTTTCTTTTTAGTCCTTTGGTTTTGTTCAGCAAGAAATCAACTGCATACTAGGAGTAAACATATGATTTTAGTATTCTTTCCATAGATGAATAATTTGTTCCAATTTGTATGTCAATGCAAGTCAAGAAAGGAATATAAAAAAGATTGAAAAAGAAAGGCAAAAAATAATATAGATTTACTAGTAATTATTACTATTATTATTCATATGAATCCGGAAATGAAAGGAAGGGTGTTCAACTTTTCTATCAAATTGTTTATCAATAGATTTGTAATTTGTAAGTTTTTTATTGGTAACTTGTGTATCAATATCATGCTTGTTTTTTGTTAAATACATGTTTTACACGAAATAATCATATTATAATTTATATTGATATAAAATATAAAAATATTATAAATTTTTATCATATCTACGTATAATTTATATAAAAATTTAAATTATATCATTTTTATATATTTTTCATATAATTTTTATGACAATATTATACTGTATCTAAAATCATCAAATTACTTTTTATTTAGAAGAAGACAAAGCCAGGAAGAGAAAAAAAAAAAAAAAAAAAAAAAAAAAAAAAAAAGAAAGAAGAGAAGATTCAAGTTAATTCTTCGTTGGAGTCACGTGTAGCGTACAGTAATGAAGAAAAGCAGTGAAGAATAAAGGCTAGGTTAGTTTGACTCTGACGCGTAAACAAAGACCGAGAACTACTTTTAGTTGCTTGTCACGTTTTGATAATGTCTTATTAAATTTTTGCCCGCTTGCGCTGGAAAAGAGTTGCTGGAGATCACGTCCCACTCACGTTCGAATCAAATTTCTAAAAGAGAACTTGGGTGCATTTGTTGTCGATGGTAGTCAATTTCTCTAGCTTGAAATTTATATCACCCATGAACTTGCTTATCAAAAGGGGTAAGCTGTTATATATTTCTTGATTGTCAATGTCATATTATCAAATTCATTTTACACGTTTATAAAATTATTTTATGACAAATAAAATTTTGATAAATTACATTTTAATCACTCAATTTTAGGTATTTTACTTTCACCAACCAATTATAAAACTTCACAACTTATCACTAATGTTTATAATTTATTTTCGTTATTCGGTCGTGGTAATGGTATATTATCTGTTAAATATTATGTTAATGATTAAATTATTATAAATTCACATTAACAATGAACCATCGGCAATATAAATTAAATATTAATAAATTTTACAAATGTTATATATTAATTAAATTATGAAATTTTAAAATTAAGTGATTAGAATAGAAATTTTTAAAAATTTAAGTGATTAAAAGTATGATTTATCTTTATATTTTAATATTTAAATTTATTTTATTTTTGTAATTTATAAAACGTCTCTAATATTAATTGTAAAAATATTACATGACATTTGATAGATGATGTAGTATTGCCATGTTAATATAGCATTTGAGATTTAACAATTGGGTGATAAAAAGAAAAAAATTTAATGAATGTTAGTGACCAAATCATAAATTTTCATAGTTTGATGATCAAAATAAAACAATTATCTAAAGTTAAATTACCCAATGTGTACTTTACCCATAAAATTTGCATAACTTCCTGTGAATATAATATTAAGAATACTAAGTTTTTTAATCCGTATAATGTATGAGATTTTTTATTAAATTTTTCATAATTTTAAATTTATTTTTTAATTATTTATACAATATATAATCATATATTTATAAATGTTAAGTTACAATTAAATGATAATTTATACAATATATATTATAAATGATATTGTGCATCTGAAAAAAAATCTAAAGTTTTGTAAATTTTTAAGAATTATAAAAATATTTTTTTCATTAAAAAAAATTTCTCCAATTTATTTACTAAATACTAAAAATTTTGCTACCATTGTTTTTTGTTTGATAAAAAATCAAGAATCAATATTTAAATAGTTGAAATTAATAATTGTTTTTATCATAATATTGATTAGGTGGTATATATATATATATATTTGATTGAACAACAAATCATAATTGTTAATTTTGTTATAATTATTTACTTTTTATTAATTATTATTTTTGACATACTTCAAGTAATTATTACAAAAATATATTGGGTTAACAATTATTTCTATATATCTCATCAAAATAAAGTTATTTTTTGGATAAAAGGAAACAATAATTATTTGTTTTATGCTTAAAAGCCTTTTTTTTAATAATTGTTTTATTTTTAATCATTTTTAATATAATTGATAGTATTTTTTGTGAGTTAGATATAGTAGTGATCATCATTATTCTCATATCATCCATTGTAGACAAAGAAATTCAATAATAAAAAATATAGCAAAAAAATAGAGAATATAAATTTACATATTAATTTGTCAAGATTAAATATATACAATAATAAAAGTAAATATGTTAATAAATTAATAGAGAATAAAAACATCGAAGAAATGAATAAAATAAAAAATATATAATACAAAATGTCGTAACGATTTTGGAGCCATCTGACGAATTTGAAAACGAAAATAAAAAAATAGTCACCACCAATCTTTTTTAATTATGTATGATTGGCCACTTACTAAAACTTATTATTTTAATAAATTTTTAAAATTAATTAAAATTTATTAAAAAGATAATTTTATGATCTACAAAACAGTCTGAACTCGGAAGTCGGTTATGTGTGAGGAAGGATTAGCACCCCCACAACGCCCGTTTAAAAATGATACCATTTAACTACGTGTTATCCTTTGATTTTGATAAAACACAATCTCATTTTTGGTGTTAGAAAAATAATTTTCTTGGTTTTTTTCATTTATTAGAAATTAGTTTTTTTAAAAAAGTTTATTATTCAAATTTTATTCGAGAAAAATAAATTAAAACTTTTTTATTGAAATAATTCTTAAAATGTTCCAATACGTTGGTAATATTGAAAGAACTCTTTCCCACCTAAAGATTTTTTAGATTTTACTATTCGGAATGCCTTAAAATCTTATCTTTGGAGGCTTAAATTTATTTTTCACAAAAACTATGCCATACATGCAATGCAAAATGTTGATATGCTGATGCAAGTATTTTATTTTTTTATTTTATTAATTTTTATTACTATTTATTATTATTCATTTAAAAAATAAAAAAGAGAAAATTTTATTATATTGAAGATTTTCTATAAATATTTTAATACACTGATAATATAAAAAAATCTTTTCACCTAAAAATTTTTAAAGCATCTCTAATTGGAATACTTTTAAAATCTCATCATCGGATAAAATTTCTTTTTTCTCATTTTTTTATTACCTATTCTTAATTTATTAATTAATTTTTTTATTACTCTATAACCAAAAAAAAATTTTATTGCATTAAAAATTTTTTATAAATACTCAAATACATTGGTAGTATTTAAAAAAATCTTCTCACCTAAAGATTTCATAGGTATCACTACTCGGAGTACCTTTAAATCTCATCATTGGGTAAAAAAATTTTTTTCATATATTTTTTATTAATTGTATTATTATTAAGTTTATTATTTTTTTTTATTTTTTAAAGTTTATTTTAAAAATTAACAAAATTATAAAAATTTTAACTACATATTTCATCATTTAATCTAATAAACATAAATATTTTAGTATGCATAAATATTATAAAATAATAACAAAATTCAAAAAAAAAATTTTTTTACCTAAACCGGATCGTTCAAGGTGGGTTCGATCGGTTCGATGGCTTGGTCTGATCTAATTGGTTCGACAGTTCGAGGTCGGTTCGACTCGATCTAGGTCCATTTAGTACCGATCCAACTAGACCAGTCAAAGGAGAGGAGAATCGAGTCTTCAGGTTGGTTGCGTGCGGATCTTAGGGCAAAACAACGTCGTTTTGGCCCTTTAAATGAAATAGCATCGTTTTGACATTTAACTCTCTATAAAAGCAAAAAAAAAAAAAAAATTCTCTCATTTTTCCTTCTTTTTTTCTCTCTCTACACCCCCAAAGCCTTTCTCTCTAGACACAGCTGATCGATCGTTGTCCGCCACGTCGGCTGTTGGCCGGCCGCCTATCACCAGCCGTCGTTGTTGAGGTCGAAAAATCTCAAAATATACCAAAACATTTCCCTCAACACCCTCTCGTCGGATCCAACTTTTTTTTCATCGAAAACAACCTCGATCAGCGTAGATTGAGGCTTAAAGTTTCAATCTCCCTTCTCTTTCTTTTTTTTTTATAAACTAAAACTGATTACTTTTTTATTTTTACAGGTATTGCTTGGTGCTAGGTTTCTCGTCGATTAGGTGAGGACTGTGTTTTTATTTTTTTTTCTAGTTTTTCTTTTGGCAGAATGCTTTTTTTTTTGCTTTCTTTGACAGTGTCTCCTCTTTTTTTTTTTGTTAGGCCAAGAGTTTTATTTATAGAACTCCGACCATGCCTTGTGCTTAGGTGAATGGCACAGGGCTTGGTAGAGAGGGGGTGCCATGTACGGCACCCCAAGCACTAGCTCTCTCTCTACCTCCTTAATCTGTATTGTCTAGTCTTGGCTATGTGCCTGGGTAGGTGGCATAGTGCCTAGCAAGGGGTGGTGCCAATGATGCCGTACAGGGTATCAGGCACCCTCGCCCCTTTATTTTTTTTTATTTTTTGGTTTTTTCTGTTTGGCGTTTTTGTTCTTTTGTTTTGTATATTTTTTATTATTATTTAATAAAAATTACAAATTTGATCAAGGCCAGACAACTTTGATGTCTACATCTGCCCCTCTTTGCATATTGCTAGGAATAAAAAATAATGCAAAAACAAAGACATTAATTTTGTTTGGAAATTTTTTTTTTTATACTTAAACTAATCAGAAAGCTTTTCTTATCAAATCGAAATACTCCTCTTACTCGAGGCTCAACAATTTTTGAAAATTTAAAATCTGAAAAAGGCTTATCTCAGAAGAGGCTCAACAATTTTAAAATTTCTATCTTGAAAAAGTTCTTCTAAGCAGAGGTTCAATAACTTTAAAATCTCATCTTAAAAAAAGCTCCTCTCAACAGAGGCTCAACGACTTTAAAATAAATCATCAAAAAATAACTTAGAATATCACCATCTAAGGATAAATGATCTCGGATATCACCACCAAGAAGATATAAATGCCTTCGGATATCATCACTGAAAGAAACTTGAATATCACCATCGAGAAAATATAATTTAAGCTTTAATACTCAAATATCACCATCGAAAAAAATGTAAATACAAATTCAAACTTTAAACTCGGATATCACCACCAAGAATATGCAAATGACTTCGGATATCGCCATCGAAAAAAACTCAAATATCACCATCAAAAAAATGTAATTCAAACTTTAATACTCAAATATCACGGCCGAGAGAATGCA